AGGGCCCTAAAACCCCCCCCCCACAGGGACACACTCCCTCCAACAGACCACCCCTCCTAATAGTGCTACTCCCTTTGGAGGCCATTTTCTTTCAAGCCACCATACAATATCAGCCTAAGTATTCTTGTTCCTGAGATTTATAAGCTATTTACCTAAGTTTGAAAACTACCAAGTTATACTTAAATAACTTAGAATTAATAACGAGCCAGAAAGGAAATAAAGGTTCCTTTGTTTTACAATGTTGTTATTGAACTTTAGTGCTAATATTTGCTACTCTGTGCAATTAATCCAGCTCTTAATTTTCTTACAAATAAATTTTATCATTTAGGCCCCAAAGTGACTTTATAATGTAATTACAATAATTGTGTGCCTAAAATGGAGATAAAACATATTTTATTTTGTATCAGTATGGTATTCAGAAAATTTTGAAGGTAATGGAGAACTGTGGATAAATTTTAAACCATAATTAGCAATATCCTGTTCATGTAACTTAAAGTGGATTTTTCTTTAATCCTTTGGCTTTTAAATGAACCCAGAATACATAAAGGAAGGGGTGGTTAAGTAAGCAGGAGAGCTATTCCTGTCTATAGTTGTTGCTTTGCTGGGTTGTAGTTACTTGTTGTACTGTTTCCCAACCATTATTATGTGATTTTCCTCTCAGTCCCTCGGGTTGTACTTTTTGGGGGAAGAAACCTTGGAGTCGAAAGAAGAAAATCCTGTGGCAGCTGGGAACGCTTGTTGGTGCTCCCGTCGGGATTGCTCTGATTGCCGGCATTGCCATCCCTGCCATGGTCATTGGCATTCCCGTGTATGTGGGCCGCAAGGTCAGCACTGTCTTCTACGTTGTTGGTGTGTCTTCTTGAAACGGAAATGTCTTCCCTTTATTTTTAAACACAGGAGTTGGTTTTAGTTTCTTCATTATAAAAGTTTTGGGCTGGGGATGTAATTGTGTTGGTAAATTTTTTTTCCGTGGAGGATGTCCTGGATTTGGTCCCCAGCACCCCATAAACCGGGTGTGGTGTCCATGTCTGTGATCTCAACACTCAGGAACTGGAGGCAGAAGGACCACAAGTTCAAAGCCATCTTTGGTATACAGCAAGTTTGAAGCCAGCCCATGTGTCTCAAAAATAGACAAATAAGTCAACTAACAAAAGTCCCTAATTTACACAGTAAACTCCCAGTGTTTGGCAAGCAAATACTTGTGCATAAAAGGCAACCTTGCTTAAAATGGTTACAGTCCGCACTACAGATTCAGAAGGATGGTTGACACTGTTTTCTCTGGGGTATATCCTTTTAAAAGTTCTTTAAGATAGAAATGCGTGGCTAAATAATGCATGCCCTTGAGCAAAGAGTAGTTAACCAGTTCTTTAGATCTTTACTCTTGAGTTCAAAGCTTTTCCACCCCCATTGCATGACTGCTGTGTGTAAATACAGTTACAGGTTATGACAGTCTTTCGTGGAAATCCAAACACCAACGTTTGTTAAATCCTTGTCCTCATACATCATTAGTTAGCTAAACAGGTAACTTACTTGGAGAGGTTAATGGGATAATTTATGAATTACTAAGAAGCCTGTTGCCATCTAAATTAAATTAATTGGATGTCAAGAAAGTATGTGATCCTAACACAGTCAGAACAAAGAGAACAGCTTCTCATAGAGCCAGTCATTGAAGAGTCCAGACTTTGTGGCAGGTGATTTACAGACCTGCATTTGTTTTTTGAGAGGCAGGGCCTGTCTCTCTGTAAAGTCACTATGTAGTCCTGGCTAGCCGGGAACTCAGAGATTGGCACTGGCCTGCCTCTGCCTTCCAAAGGAACAGTGTGTTTCCCCATTCCCAGCTGTTGACCAATCCTCCTGTTGGAGAACCCTGGGTGTTGTAGCCACAAGTGCTCGGGGTGAAACTGAGATTTTCATTGACTTGCTTCTGGTAGGTGTGTGCGTGTGTGAGTAGAGATCAGAGGACAGCTTGCTGGAATAGTTTCTGCTTTCATTGTGTTGTTCCTAGGTCACACTCAGGCTTGACAGCAAAGCCCTTTGCACCATCCTGCCATCCCAACACTGCGGTTTAGAAAAGGGATTTGGGCCCAGGTGAACGAATTCTTTGTATAAGTCCCTTGTAGATTTTAGTCTAGCCAGTTGGGCACCCAGTCCCGGAGAAAGCACAGACTCGTGAGGAGGCCCACGCTATTGCCAGACATGCTGTTGTCAGACAGTACTTAGGCTGAGTCCCCTGTCCCTTGTATCCTTTAATTGTGATTCTGAGCTGTGCTACTAATCTCAGGGTAAGAACGATCCTCTTCCATAGACAGCTGTGTTTATTTCATGGACATAAGTGTTTGCCTGCATGTGTGCCTGTGTGCCATGTGTGCCATGTGTGTGTGTGCCTGTGTACCATGTGTGCCTGTGTACCATGTTGTGTGCCTGTGTGCCATGTGTGCCATGTGTGTGTGTGCCTGTGTACCATGTGTGCCTGTGTACCATGTTTGTGTGCCTGTGTACCATGTGTGTGTGCCTTGTGTGCCTGTGTACCATGTGTGCCATGTGTGTGTGTGCCTGTGTGCCATGTGTGCCTGTGTACCGTGTGTGTGCCTTGTGTGCCTGTGTACCATGTGTGCCTGTGTACCGTGTGTGTGCCTTGTGTGCCTGTGTACCATGTGTGTGTGCCTGTGTGCCATGTGTGCGTGTGTTCCATGTGTGTCTGGTGCTTGCAGAGGCCAGAAGACATCAGCAGATCAGCTACCAGGTCACCTACAACAGTGGTTCTCAGCCTGTGGGCTGTGACCCTTTATGGTAACGACACTTTCACAGGGACCATTGGAAAACACAGATTTTACATTGCAGTTCATAACAGCAAAGTGACAGTTAGGAAGCGGCAACAGAAATAACTTATGGTTGGGATCAGCACAACACTAACGGTATTAAGGGCAGCAGCGTTGGGAGGGCTGAGAACCGCCAGTCCAGAATTAGAGTTACAGAAGCTGTGAGCTGCTGTGTAGGTGCCAGGAACCAAATCAGTCCTTCGCAAGAGCAGCATCAGGCACTGCCAAGACACATCCTCTTGCCCTGAAAATACCGTCTAAAAACAGAAACACTGTTCTCAATTAGTTTTGATAGAAAGGTGTGGAGCATCGTAGGAGGTTCTACGTTGGATCACAGACAGCACAAAAACAAAACAAAACAAAGCTGGTTTGGTGGCTGGTGAGGAATGGAGACTTCTGTTAATTGTTTATTTCAGAAGGGTCTTAAGTAAGTAAATCTCTAGCCTGGGGAGTTAGGGCCACAGCACAGTGGAGGGACACTTACACAGCATGTGCAAAGAAAATATAAGAACTGTTGCTGTGATTAAAGCAAAACAAAACACCATGACCAAAAAAACAGCTTGCCAAGAAAGGGGTTTGTTTGGTTTAGCTTTCTGGTTATAGTTGATCATGGAAGGAAGTCAGGACAGGAACCTAGAGGCAGGAACCAAAGCACATTCCTTGGAGGGACTCTGCTTGCTGGCTTGCTTTCTTTACAACCCAGGATTGACTGCCCAAAATTTTATTTATTTATTTATTTTAATTTTTCCAATCAGCTTCTCTGTGTGGCCCCTCTGTATACCAGGCTGCCTCTGCCTCCCCAGTGCTGGGATTAAAGGCATGTGCCACCACCATCCCTGGCTGAGTGTGGGCATTTTCTCTGTTAAGGTTCCCTCTTCCCAAATGGCTCTAACTTGTGTCACGTTGACAAAACAATTAACCAGGACAGAAACTGATTTTAATAATTTTTTGTGTAGAGTGTTGGAAGCGGAGCTGTTTGCTCAGACACTTAGAAGAGAAAGCGACAGCCTGCGTGTGCCGACAGCTAGTTTAGAGTGACATTGGGCCTGTAACCCAGTACTCTGGAAGCTAAAGCAGGGTTAGCGACAGCCTGCGTGTGCCGACAGCTAGTTTAGAGTGACATTGGGCCTGTGACCCAGTACTCTGGAAGCTAAAGCAGGGTTAGCGACAGCCTGCGTGTGCCGACAGCTAGTTTAGAGTGACATTAGGCCTGTAACCCAGTACTCTGGAAGCTAAAGCAGGGTCTGAGGGGGAGATGGCTTAGTGATTGAGAGCACGGCACCAGCAGACGGCCCACAACTATCTGAGGCCTTTTTCTGACCTCCATGGCCACAGGGCACAAAGCATGAGACAGATACACATGCAGGTAAAACACCCATACACATATGTGTAATGAAGTTAAAACAATGAAAGAAGGAAAACATCAAACAAACGAGTGAACCAAAAGTAATGGGATGATGTGGTCACTGTTATTCCACACCAGCGGGTAAGGCTGCCAAAGTCGATAGGCTGTGTACGTCTGTAATCTCAGTACTGAGGGGCTAGCCTGGACTCTGTGTGTGTGTGTGTGTGTATGTGTGTGTATGAGCATATGGGTATATATGTGTGTGTTTATATATGTGAATATATGTACATACATGTGTGTATGTGCACATCTGTATATGTGTGTATACACGTACATGTGTGTGTGGTGTGTTTGTGTATGTATATGTATGTGTGCATATGTATATATAGGTGTGTGTATATATGTGTGTGTGTTTGTGTATACATAAATATGTGTGTACATATGTGTGTATGTATGTATGTATATGTGTGTGTGGTGTTTGTGTATGTATATATGTGTGTATGTGCATACATGTGTGTATATTTATGTGTGTATATGCACACATTTATATATGATCCTGTCTCAGAGAGAGAGAGAGAAGGGAATGGGGTGGGAGCAAAGGTTGACTCCCTTGGTTCCATGGCAACCTGTCCTCACAGATCCACCTGCATGTGTGTAGACTTGGCTTTGCTCTGCTGCTGTGCCCGGGAATAGGCTGGAAAGGAGCTACAGGGAAAAGAGCATAGAAAGGCCCTGACATTTCACCTTAGAGACCAGACTAGCCGTGTGGTTTGGAGGCCGCTCAAGGGATGTCTTCAGACAGATGGGAAACGCCCTTCCTCAGTTTGGCTCTAAACTGTTTCCCAGTTTCATTTAATAATTCATAAGCTGTTTTATGGCAATTGTTTTATTTATTAGTGTGGATTGTACAATGATTCTCTGGTAACCACTATTTGTCTTTACTCTTTAAACTGATTTTGAGTCATCTGTTAATAACTTTCTGTCATGAAAAGGTGTCTGGAAAAAAGTTGTACATGATATTTGTTCATACAGCACCTTTTTAGACTCAACTTTTAGATGATAAAGACTGTGGAACCCTCTCCTGGGGTTTGTTCAGGGAGTCTTACTTGAAAAGAAACCCGTGGAACTCTAGTATGGTTTCTGAGATGGAGTCTTCATGGCGTGGGTCGGCTTTGAACTAGAGATGTACACAAGGGTAACATTGAACTTGTGACACAGACTAAATCTCCTGAGCCACTGCCACCTCCTGTAAACAGGACAGCAATAAGGAGCAATTTGTGACACTGTGGTGACCTTGCATTAGGGCGATGGACTGAAAGTGTGAGAAATCCTTCAGCTCTCTTACATGTGTAGGACTGTTTCACCTAAACCGAATATGTAATGTTTTTCTTTTCTAAACTTCCATTCCCTTTTGAATTTAAGATTCATAATCGCTATGAAGGCAAAGATGTCTCAAAACACAAGCGGAATCTGGCCATAGCAGGTGGTGTGACGCTGTCTGTAATTGTCTCTCCGGTGGTTGCTGCAGTGACTGTAGGTAAGACCATGCTTCGGAGCGTTACTTAAGTAGAACCTATAGGAGGTTTCTCAAGTAACTTCATTAAAAGTGCTGTTGACTCAAGAACCTGGCTTTAGGGACTGTAGATAGTGGTACAGCCCTTGCCTCAGACCTACAAGAACCTGTTGTTAGGATGGCTGGTGAGTAGCCTCCCTCAGACGCTTGCACTTTAAAAGTTCACAAAGCCGGTCTTTGCCCCCATGGTACCTGAGGGCCACCTGGCAATGTTGCATTTGTTTGTGTCCCAGCCAAATCCTTCTCCTGAGAAGACCTAACCTCATATTCCTGGGATCAGTGTCTGGTTTCTGATATGTAATTCAATTCCTTTTTAGGCATTGGTGTTCCCATTATGTTAGCTTATGTTTATGGTGTTGTTCCAATCTCCCTCTGCCGAAGTGGGGGTTGTGGAGTTTCAGCAGGCAATGGGAAAGGAGTCAGAATTGAATTTGATGACGAAAATGACATAAATGTTGGTGGAACTAACACAGCTATAGGTGAGTCCTTTAAACATGGGAAGAAATGTGTGCATTAAGCCCTACTGTCCTCCTTTTACTAGGCCTTTTTGTGTTCTTACTGTCTCACACCCCTCCCCCCCCCCTTCTCTTTCCTCTCTGAGACAGGGTCTCACTGTGTAGCCTTGGCTGGCCTGAACTCAGTGTGTAGACGAGGCTCACTCTGCCTCAGATGTGCTGAGATCAGAGGTGAATGTCTGACAGCCTCGTAGTTTTAATCCAGAAGCATAGCTGTGAAAGGAACTGTGACGGTCAGACATGTGTGACAGAGGAGGGGTGGCTGTGGGTGCTCACCTCTTACAAGAATACATTTAGGAGTTAGAGCCTTTTCATACAGTGTTTCACTCCATACGTAATGAAGTCTGAAAAGGATGTGAAGAGCATTGCAGTTAAAAGAATTGCAAATGGTCAATAAATGAAAAACTTCTGTATCACTCAAAGAAGTACAAGTTAGAACTGTAGTGGGCAGGAATCTCCACGACTAGAGGCTTTATTCACACACCGGCAGTAGGAGTGTCAGCTTGCTGAAATAGTGCTTGTCCTGTACCCAGTGGTTTTAATCACAAGTGTGTGTCTCAGGGCAGTGTCTAAGAACGAAGCCCTTTGGTGCCCTCTGTGCACCTTCTATGAAATCTCTCGTGTGTCTCCTTGGGGAGCGTGTCTGGTCCTTGCTCTCACAGTCTGCCCTGACTGTCTTACACCACCTCTTCTTGAAGGTGACAGTTAATACTCCGCTTTCTGGGCTTTTAAACGTGTGGTTACCCCTGCCTGGAATGCTCATTTTATGGCTGGTGTGGGGCGAGGGAGGCCTTCCTTGGCCATGTTGTAAAGCGGTGTCCAGGGATGACATACGCACTATAGTCACTCCCCTGTCTTGCTTGGTCACATGATTGAATATGTAATAGGAACTCAGATACTGGCGTAAGTAAGTGAATAGTACTGTAAAATTAGAATATAATCCTATAGCATCTTGTAATAGTTTATAGACAATTAGAACTACGTCTAGAAATCAGCTTTTGTCCGTTTTGTCTTATTGATCTAGAGAACAGGATCTCTCACTGGAACCAAGTCTGTCGAGGGAGGTCTTCTAAATCATTTGTTCAAATCCCTGAATCTTCTGGACTTAGCAACAACAAATACTGACCATCTTAAATTTAGGGCCAGTCTCAGATTGAGCAGTACACCCTGAAATGGCTCTCTGTATGCCTAACCATGAGTGTGATATGTACTTTGTGTGATCTAATATCCTTTCTGAAATCATGTAGGAGTTTAAGGCAGGAAAATGAGTAATCATTCTCTCTTCATTTCTTGAATCATTTTACATTTAGATACAACATCAGTAGCAGAAGCCAGGCACAACCCGAGCATAGGAGAGGGGAGCGTTGGTGGTCTGACTGGCAGCTTGAGTGCAAGTGGAAGTCACATGGACCGAATAGGCACCATGAGAGACAACCTGAGTGAGACAGCCAGCACCATGGCCTTAGCTGGAGCTAGCATAACGGGAAGTCTGTCAGGAAGCGCCATGGTGAACTGTTTCAACAGGTAAGAAATAGCTGCTTGTTTTGGTTTGTTAACAAGACCTTAGTTAGATGAAAAATATGAATGCAAAGCATGCATGATAACTACCCAAAGGTTAAAAGTACTGTGTTTGGTACTTGTGTTGTAATAAAAACTTAAGCCCTGAGAAATAACTACACTTGATGAAGTTGATTTGATCAAGGATCTGCATTTGTGTTCACTAGAGTAAAGGCCATGCTTAGCGTCGACCTTGCTTGTTTACTGATACCGTGGAGATGAGGAGGAGAAGTCAACATTTATCTTACTGCGTCATTTTTCTTATTCACTGTTGTGTGTGTTAGCTCTTTTGTGGAGAGGGTAGATGAATTAAAAGTCGTATTTATCTTATTTCAGGTAGCTGGACAGAAACTACGTTGTAATTTGGTATATGTTGTTACCTCTTATTACAAAATCAGATGTAGGCTGAAGTTGTTGAGCAGAACCCTTTTTAGTATAGGATTTATTTTCATTATTTGAGATAGAGTGTGACTTGTACTTTGTGTAATCTAATATCCTTTCTGAAATCATGTAGGAGTTTAAAGCAGGAAATTGCTTAATTTCTGGAATTATTTCACAGTTAGATACAATATCAGTAGCAGAAGCCAGGCACAACCCGAGCATAGGAGAGGGGAGTGCTGGTGGTCTGACCGGCAGCTGGGATGCTGCAAGCCCTGGCTACCCTGGAACTCACCATACGGGGGAGGCAGCCTGCCTCTATCTCCTGAGGGCTGAGATAAAAGGCATTTGCCACTACACCCAGTTAACAGAGGGATTTTTATTTATTAATGGATCTATCATGTTTATTGATTAATACACTCTGACTTTGTATTTTGTCCTGAGCATGACAGAGGACTGCATCCTAGTGAAAATACCGTGGAGACCATTCAGATCTGTTTCCTTTTGATCTTCCTTTGGGTAGTGTTCTCTTGAGTCCTCTTGGGTGTTGTTCAGTACCCCACAGTTTAATCTGGATAATAAAAGAAGTGGGAACTGAAAAACTACAGTGCCTAAAATAGATTTTCATTACCAAAGTTTCTCACTGAATTATTTAAAGATATGTACTGTGATTGCGGAACTATAAGTGATTGGGTGCGTGTGTGATGCCCTCCTCTTTAAGGCTGGAGATTCAAGCAGATGTTCAGAAAGAACGGTGCAGTCTCAGTGGAGAGTCCGGCACCGTGAGCTTGGGAACAGTGAGTGATAATGCCAGCACCAAAGCCATGGCCGGATCCATTCTCAACTCCTGCATCCCTCTGGACAGGTGAGGAGGACTCCCCTGTAAAAATAGAAGTGTTTTAATTCACTCAAAAGGAATGATCCCGCCCACTGGGCACAGTCTCCAAGAAAACAGCGAGATGTTGAAAGGCGCAAACCCATCCAGGTAGGAAGTCCATGCCCACAACAGAAAAGCAGTAAATGTCCCTGGTACTATTTTAAAACTTGAAGCCTGAAGAGGCTGGAGAGAAGGCTCAGTAGTTAAGCACTGGTTCCTTGTCCAGAAGACCTGGGTTCAGTTCTGTACGAACACTGTGTGGCTCACATCTACTTGGAACTCCAGTTTTCTGGGGGATCTGATGCCCTCTTGTGGTCTCTGCTGGCATCGCTCATACGTACACTCAGGTACAAACAAATACACATAAAATAAATCTTTTTTTTTTTTCTTAATAGAAATATTAAGACAGTCTCCTCGGGCTGTTCCTGGTGGTGCAGGCCTTTAATCCCAGTGCTTGGAAGGCAGAGACAAGCAGATCTCTGAGTTCAAGGCCAGCCTGGTCTACATATAAAAACAAAGCAAGACAACAACAAAGGCACAAAGATAGTCTTGGCACTCGCTCTGTAGACCAGGCTGGCCTCTCATTCACAGAGATCCGCCTGCCTCTGCCTCCCAAGTGCTGGGATTGAAGGTGTGCGCCACACGTGCCTGGCTAAAGACAGTCCTCTTGTGTGTAGTTTTATGTTGGTAGAATGTAACCTGCACTGAAATGTTCCGACAAGCTTCTTTACGTAGCATTGGTGTTTTCATAGAAAAGCCCTTCTCCCTGTGTCTCATCTGAACAGAAGCAGTTTCATCTTTGCCGCTCTCGTTTCAGAGAAGGGAACAGCATGGAAGTGCAAGTGGACATTGAGTCCAAGCCATTCAAGTTCCGGCACAACAGCGGGAGCAGCAGCGTGGAAGACGGCAGTGCTGCCCGAAGCCACGCTGGTGGTTCATCCAGTGCATTGCCTGAAGGTAAATCCGGTGCCACCAAGTGGTCCAAAGAAGCAACAGCAGGAAAAAAGTCAAAAAGCGGTAAACTGAGGAAAAAGGGCACCCTGAAGATAAAGGAGCCCCGCGAGGACATGGATGCCCAGCTGCTGGAGCAGCAGAGCACCAACTCAAGCGAGTTTGAGGCCCCGTCCCTCAGTGACAGTATGCCGTCTGT